CACTGCCATGCCATGGGAGTGCCCTACACCACTGGGTGAGTGGGTCACTGTCTCCAAAGGGATGCCAAGCCATGGGAATACCCTATACCCTGGGTGAGTGGGTCACTGTCTCCAACGGGATGCCAAGCCATGGGAGTACCCTACACCCTGGGTGAGTGGGTCACTGTCTCCAAAGGGATGCCAAGCCAACGGGATACTAAGCCATGAGAGTGACCTCCACCCTGGGTGAGTGGGTCACTGTCTCCAAAAAATGCTAAGCCATGAGAGTGACCTCCACCCTGCATGAGTGGGTCACTGTCTCCAAAGGGATGCCAAGCCAACAGGATGCTAAGCCATGAGAGTGACCTCCACCTTGGGTGGGTGGGTCACTGTCCCCAAAGTGATGCCAAGCCATGGAAGTTCCCTACACCCTGGGTGAGTGGGTCACTGTCTCCAAAAGGATGCTATGCCATGAGAGTGACCGCCACCCTGCGTGAGTGGGTCACTGTCTCCAAAGGGATGCCAAGCCATGAGAGCCCTGGGTGAGAGTGAGATTGTTAGTATCAACTTAATTTACATATTTATTAGTCCCCGTTCAGGCGCAGCCTGAAAATTCCATAAAATCCTAAATATATCTAGAAGTCAAAATTAAATGGTTTACAGTATTTTATACCCATTAATAATTATTGAAATGCAATAATATCACTGCACTAAAAAAACTTCAAACAATTATTGTTACTTCTCCATTGAAGGTTATGAGCAGACCAACCTTTACTTGCTCTGAAAACATTGTTTAAATTAACAGCTGTTGTTCTATGTACAATGAATACATTTTAAATAATAAACCTTAATGTGTTAATAACAAATGTATTTGACAACATGAGATTAACAAAGAAGTCATGTACATCAAGGTTCATTCAGATTTATGAATGCAGTTTCTTGAGCAAGTATACATGTATGACAAATAGTTTTGTTGCACTTGTGTACTCTGAGATTCTGAACATGGGTCAGTGGAAGTTTTTAGATTATGGGAAATCACTTTATGATGAGTTGTAACCACAAAGAGTACATATTTATTCACCTGTTTGCGGATGTTCCTTGTACTACTTTATAATCAAATAACGGGGACTGTGACATTTCATGTCTTGTTTATTTAAGATGTTGGAAAGCATGGTGCACAAACCACGTCCTACGCGTGCTGAGATCAGTGATGTTGCCAATGCAGTCTTGGATCAAGCTGACTGTGTTATGTTGTCAGGGGAGACAGCTAAAGGTGAATACCCAACTGAAGCAGTACAAATTATGCACAAGGTAAGAAGTCAATGCGTATATCATATTATTGTAAAATACTTTATTTTCGCTCAGAATTTAATATTACCCTTACCTTTTACAGTAAAATTTAATCCCATCTAGTATAGTTTTTAAAACACTGCAAGAAAGTGTGACCATACATAAATAAATATTGTATTGCTCAATTTGTGTAAGACACCCTTAGTTTTCAAGACATACAGATTTATGTAAAATCAAATTGTTATTCTACAGTGTTTTAATTAGTATGGTATTTGATGTTTTGAAAAAGTGTTGTTGTTTTTTTCAAATATTTTCTCACAGCTCGGGGGGGGGGGGTAGACAACGTTTATATGGCCAAATTTGGCACAAGTTTGTCACACACCTTGGGCTATGGACATGTCATGTCTCTTGGATGGGGAATTTGGTATGCCAAGAAAATCAATTTTGTCCATTTCCTTCCCTTTCTTGTAGAAAATGTTGTTGGTGCATCAAATATATATATATATCATTCAAAATTAATATTTCTTGCAATAAGCAGTAAAAAGTCTAAAAGTTCATTTTTTTTAAAAAGCATTCATACTGTTATAATAATTCATCAATTTTTTTTTTTTTTTTTTTGTAAAGATTTGTCATGAAGCTGAAGCTGCTGTTTTTCATCGTCAAGTTTTTGAAGAGTTGAAAAGACATCAACCGTTTCCAACAGATGCTGCATTAACTATTGCTATGGCAACGGTGTCTGCTTCTTTTGCATGTCAGGCTGGTGCTATTGTATGCCTCACTAAGACCGGAAAGTAAGTGTCTAGGAGTGTTTACATTTGGTGAAAACCATGGCAACATTTACAGGGTAATCGTTACCATAGCTACTTGGTTTCTATGGCAACAATGGTATAGTATTTTTACTATGGTGATATGGGTAGCAATTTATACTTACATTGTCTTATACTCAAACATACAACTTGTTGTGATGTAGTGAAACCACAGTGTACCCTCTCGGCCGACATGTGTCACAAACAGCAGCAAGGCTGACCCAAATTTATTTTGACTTTGGATATCTACAAAATTATTTGAGGGCACATAGGGAACACCAGAATGTTGTCATTTTAACTACTTAACTTCAATGTTCTATTTAACAATACTTAAATCTAACAATAACTCATTTATTAACTTTTACATTGTTCTCTGTCATTACTATTGTATCAGTGTGTTCATATTAGCCTATTAACATGTGTTATTCTCTGTTACCATTGTAGTCTCTCTGTGTACCAGTACATTAACTTTTACATTGTTCTGTCATCACTATTTTTCTTTTCATGGGATCTTCAAGATTTTACTATATAAATATAATATAAATAATTTTATCTTATTCTAATGGTTTACCGATTCTTTAAAATTTAACTAATATATCTCATTCTGTAATAATACTACTGGTTTCCAATGTGGTAAAGATTCTTTAAAATTTAACTAATACATTCTGTAAAAACTGAAAGGTTTCCCATTTGGTGCATAGATGATGATATATAGATGATTGTCTGTCGTCATCCATTGTCAACAATTCCAATTATTTTTTAATGATATCAACAATTCTTTATTTTTAAGTGCTTTTTATATCAGTGATTGCTCATTGTCTATGTACGTCCGTCTACATTTACATTTTCGATATATTTTTTTTTTTTTATTTTCTTTGAAGCTTGGTATGTAGTTATTGTGGGTATATCTGTCAGATTTGTAACCAGATGTATTTGTAATCGCCATGGAAACAACATATAAACCATGCTTGTAATATGGCAAGAACATTGTTGGAGCAATAACCATGGCGAATAGATAATACCTTTGGAGCTATTTCGACCATGAGGTCACTTGTTCCAATTCATTCTGGCCATGAGGTCACTTGTTCCAATTCATTACGGCCATGAGGTCACTTGTTCCAATTCATTACGGCCATGAGGTCACTTGTTCCAATTCATTACGGCCATGAGGTCACTTGTTCCAATTCACTCTGTCTCTTCCTTTCTAGTTTGTTTTCTTGATTCTTATTCACTTTCTGTAGAAATGACAGGTATTTAAATTAAGATTGTTGAGTGCTTGGCATTCTTTATGTAAATGATCTCGGCAATTAAAAATAAGCTTCTGCTAACTATTTGAGATGTTCCCCTATAAACTTCTTTATTGGAATATCTTATGATACATTAGTGTTTGTTAGGCAGTTATAGTGGAGGCCGCCATTACGTTCAGTGTCTTGTTAGAGAGTTCAGTGTTTTAATGCAATTAGCTCTCACATTAAATGAATCGTGTCTTCAAGCTTTTCTGTTTGAGTTTTTTTTTTTTTGTAGTTACAACCTACATCTTGATAATAAATCAACTTAACTATTTGTGAGGGGGGGGGCTGCTGTGTTACTTGTTATAGTTAGTTAGTAGTTAGTATAACTGATGTTTTTTAGTTTTGAATTATTATTTTGGTCAAAGTCTCTATACAGATTGAATTTAATACATGCTTGCATCTGTGCATCTCCATCTGTATGCCCGATCAATCACATTCAAACTTCTCACATGTATCTTACTTTTTGGGGGACACATTCACATTCAGTCGTTTCGTAATTCAATTTCAAGATGGAAGAATTAATCATACACAGATCTAATTATTTTGGCGTTGGAATATGTGCATATCAATCACCTGATTTGCATAATAATTAACCAATTTTCCACCTATATCTCAAAAACCATTTATTGCATCTCAATAAGACTTGATATAAGGGCCTGGGAACATTTTGGATTAGATAATCCATTGACGTGATTACTTTAATGTTTAAAATCATACACAGTGATTATCTAATATTTATTAGCCAATTTCTGATACCTCAAAAAATCTGATTTAAATTGAACTTGTGTTAGAGGTGCTCTTGAATAAATTAAAAAGCTAACTACAGATGTACAATCAAATGATAGATTTATGATTATGATAGATTTAACTGTTAAATGGGCTTTTTGAGCGTGCGAGTATAACATGCTAGAGATGGATTAAAATAAGTTATCATTAGTTTGAAGTTTGACTCTTTCTTTTCATTTTCTTGAAGCAAAACTGAGATGTTTTATGAATAGTATTAATTTAATTAATAAATATCAGAATTAGCAATGGAGTAAAAATATGTATCCATCTAACCTGTATATTCATTTCTACACCTAACTTGTATATCCATGTCTACACCTAACTTGTATATCCATGTCTACATCTAATCTTTATATCCATGTCTACACCATCTACATCTAACCTGTATATCCATGTCTACACCCATCTACATCTAACCTGTATATCCATGTCTACACCCATCTACATCTAACCTATATATCCATGTCTACACCCATCTACATCTAACCTGTATATCCATGTCTACACCATCTACATCTAACCTATATATTAATGTCTACACCCTTCTACACCTAATCTATATATCCATGTCTACACCCATCTACACCTAATCTATATATCCATGTCTACACCCATCTACATCTAATCTTTATATCCATCTACGCCTAACTTGTATATCCATGTCTACACCATCTACATCTAACCTGTATATCCATGTCTACACCCATCTACATCTAACCTGTATATCCATGTCTACACCCTTCTACACCTAATCTATATATCCATGTCTACACCCATCTACACCTAATCTATATATCCATGTCTACACCCATCTGCACCTAACCTTAATAACCTGTGTATAGACCCATCTATATCATACCATTTATCCATGCCCATTGTAGCCTTGGTCCTTGCACAGTTAAGGCATATATCACTATGTGTAACAATAACAACTCAATTTATTAGAAGTGCTTACATGAAAAGAAATCGGGTTTTTGAACCATTGTTTGGCATATGCACTTTCTAGTATAATGAGCACTGTAATGTTACACAAACAGTGAGTAATGTGTCACATATAAATGTAAGCATTTCTCAGACATATTATTACATTCCAATCTCAGTGTCAGCTACATCTATTTGATATGTGGTCACTTTGTATCGTCCAGTAATGCATTGTTTTCAATCTTATTGTCAGCTACATTGTAATATGTGGTCACTTTGTATCGTCCAGTAATGCATTGTTTTCAATCTTATTGTCAGCTACATTGTAATATGTGGTCACTTTGTATCGTCCAGTAATGCATTGTTTTCAATCTTATTGTCAGCTACATTGTAATATGTGGTCACTTTGTATCATCCAGTAATGCATTGTTTTCAATCTTATTGTCAGCTACATTGTAATATTTGGACACTTAGTATCATCCAGTAATGCATTGTTTTCAATCTTATTGTCAGCTACATTGTAATATGTGGACACTTGGTATCATCCAGTAATGCATTGTTTTCAATCTCATTGTCAGCTACATTGTAATATGTGGACACTTTGTATCATCCAGTAATGCATTGTTTTCAATCTCATTGTCAGCTACATTGTAATATGTGGACACTTTGTATCATCCAGTAATGATGTCTAGGTCAAAGGTGGGGACTGAGACATTGATGTCTTGTTCAAAGGTGAGGACTGTGACATTGATGTCTTGTTCAAAGGTGAGGACTGTGACATCAATGTCTAGTTCAAAGGCGAGGACTGTGACATCAATGTCTAGTTCAAAGGCGAGGACTGGGACATCAATGTCTTGTTCAAAGGTGAGGGACTGTGACATTGATGTCTAGGTCAAAGGTGGGGACTGTGACATTGATGTCTAGGTCAAAGGTGAGGACTGTGACATTGATGTCTAGGTCAAAGGCGAGGACTGTGACATTGATGTCTAGGTCAAAGGCGAGGACTGTGACATTGATGTCTAGGTCAAAGGCGAGGACTGTGACATTGATGTCTGTTCAAAGGCGAGGACTGTGACATTGATGTCTAGGTCAAAGAAGAGGACTGACATTGATGTCTAGGTCAAAGGCAGGGACTGACATTGATGTCTAGGTCAAAGGCAATGACTGACATTGATGTCTTGTTCAAAGGTGAGGACTGTGACATTGATGTCTTGTTCAAAGGCGAGGACTGTGACATTGATGTCTAGGTCAAAGGCGAGGACTGTGACATTGATGTCTAGGTCAAAGGCGGAAACTGTGACATTGATGTCTAGGTCAAAAGAGAGGACTGTGACATTGATGTCTAGGTCAAAAGAGAGGACTGTGACATTGATGTCTTTTTCAAAAGAGAGGACTGTGACATTGATGTCTTTTTCAAAAGCAATGACTGACATTGATGTCTTTTTCAAAAGCAATGACTGACATTGATGTCTTTTTCAAAAGAAATGACTGACATTGATGTCTTTTTCAAAAGAAATGACTGTGATATCGATGTCTAGGTCTAAGGTGAGGACTGACATTGATGTCTAGGTCAAAGGTGAGGACTGACATTGATGTCTAGGTCAAAGGTGAGGACTGACATTGATGTCTTTTTCAAAAGCAATGACTGTGATATTGATGTCTAGGTCTAAGGTGAGGTCTGTGACATTGATGTCTTTTTCAAAAGCAATGACTGTGATATTGATGTCTAGGTCTAAGGTGAGGTCTGTGACATTGATGTCTTGTTCAAAGGTGAGGACTGTGACATTGATGTCTTGTTCAAAGGTGAGGACTGACATTGATGTCTTTTTCAAAAGTGGGGACTGTGGCATTGATGTCTTGTTCAAAGGTGAGGACTGTGACATTGATGTCTTGTTCAAAGGTGAGGACTGTGACATTGATGTCTTGTTCAAAGGTGTGAGGACTGTGACATTGATGTCTTGTTCAAAGGTGCGAGGACTGACATTGATGTCTAGGTCAAAGGCGAGGACTGTGACATTGATGTCTAGGTCAAAGGCGAGGACTGTGACATTGATGTCTAGGTCAAAGGCGAGGACTGTGACATTGATGTCTAGGTCAAAGGTGAGGACTGTCATTGATGTCTAGGTCAAAGGTGAGGACTGTGACATTGATGTCTAGGTCAAAGGTGAGGACTGTGACATTGATGTCTTTTTCAAAGGTGAGGACTGTGACATTGATGTCTAGGTCAAAGGCGAGGACTGACATTGATGTCTAGGTCAAAGGCGAGGACTGTGACATTGATGTCTAGGTCAAAGGCGAGGACTGTGACATAGATGTCTAGGTCAAAGGCGAGGACTGTGACATTGATGTCTAGGTCAAAAGCGAGGACTGTGACATTGATGTCTAGGTCAAAGGCGAGGACTGTGACATTGATGTCTAGGTCAAAGGCGAGGACTGTGACATTGATGTCTAGGTCAAAGGCGAGGACTGTGACATTGATGTCTAGGTCAAAGGTGAGGA